AGGCAGGATGGGGTGGTGGGGGGGGCGCCTGCCCCAGAGCCACAGGATGCACCGGCAGCCGCCCCGGCCTGGGCTGTCCTGGGGGCTGGGGGACAGTACGTGGCCTTGGGTATCGGGGCTGAGGCCCTGGAGGGCAGGAGGCGAGGGCGAGGGGTCCTGGGAGCCGGCTCACCTTGGTTGTAGAGCCGCTGGATCTCGCGGACGGTCTGGACGCTGGCTGACCTCCGGAACAGGCCCTCGGTGCGGAGCCCTGCGGGACAGCCTCCTGCATCCCCAGTCCCGCTCACCGGGTTCCCGACTCCAGCACCGCCTCCTGCGGCTGCCGGGGGACCCTCTCCAGGCTGGTTCTCCCCGCCCCCATCTACTGCCCCGCCTTCATTCGTTCCTCTCAACTCCAATGTTTCCGTATTCCCACCGATTCCCCACCCGCGTGCCCCAGGAGGGAGACGGGAAAGGGCCCGGCACTAAAGTCAGGCCCGGCCTCCGTGCTCGGCTGCAGCGGCTGCAGGGTGAGGCCTCGGGCCCTGCCTCCGAGGCTGCAGAAGGGATGCGGGGAACACGCGTGGCCTGTGCCAGGCACCTGGGAGCCTCCAGCACACTGCTCCCCTCTCTTCCCATGAGTGTCTAGCATGCAGCCACTCACTGCATGTGATTTAAATTCAAATTTAATTAAAATGAAATCCTATATAAAAGGTTAATATGCAAATCGATCAAACAGAGGAATGTCTTGTCACTATGACACGCACTGACCACCAGGGGCCAGACGCTCAATGCAGGAGCTGCCCCTGGTGATCAGAACGCTCCCACAGGGGGATGTCCGCCTGCCTGCTTAGGCCCGCTCCCCGAGAGGGCGCAGGCTGGGCTGAGGGATGCCCTGCCCCCCAGTGCACTGGGCCTCTAGTAAAATATAAGACTCCAGGCGCCCAACACATGAGCCACAATGAAGGACTCTCTTCTATTGCCCAGGTGGGTGGTGACTCCCACTTAGGATCTCACAGATGAGACCCTCATACCTCCCCCGCTCAAGCTGCCTCCATTCTGAAGCTGAGGGAGAGATTCAACATGGATGTCCAACTCTGACCAGCGCCTGTGGGCGCCCTTCCCGGTCCTCGTCAGCCAGGAGGGCTTCCCATGCGTCGTTACCATGGACCCGGCTGGTCTGGCCACGCTGCCCTCGCCCTTGCCCTCTCCCCCTGCCCCACTGCTGCTCTAACCCTCTCTCCAGCCTCCAGCCGGCCCCATGGTCCTCCTGGCCTCAGCCACTGCTATTCCCTCCGCCTGGGGGGCTAGTTCCTCTCTGTTTTTGGCTGAGTGACTGTAAGGCAGAATTCTTGGACGCCCCGGGATTCCCGAACCCAAGCACTCAGTCCAACACTGACCACAGTGCTGCGTGGAGGGACTTTGTAGATGGAACTTAGGTCCAAGGCAGTTGACCTTGAAAGAGGGGGACGAGCTTGGGTGGGCCTGACCTAATCAGGCAGGCATTTAAAAAGGGACCAGGTTCCTCCTGGCAAAAGGAGTGTGGAGGCTGGGGACAGGGACGCCGTGCGTGGCCAGGTCTCCGCTGGTGGAGGGGCCACACAGCAAGGCAAGCGAGACAGGAAGAGGCCCGTGGCGGGCGGGCGGCCAGGGCAGGCTCCTCAGAAGTTCAACCGCAAAGAACGGGGTTTGGCTGCGATCTGAGTGCGTGTGGACGTGGAGGCTGCCCCGGAGCCCGGAGGGAAGGCGCATGCCCACACCTTGGATTCAGCTTTGTGAGACCTGAGCAGGGAACGGCCTCGTGTGCCTGGACTTCTGAGCTCAGAAACTGATATAAAATACAGTGGGGCCTTGACTTACGAGTGTCCTGACTAACGAGTTTTTTGAGATACCAGCTGTCTCTCAGCTGATTTTTTGCATTGAGTTGATAGGGTAATTTGAGTTAATGAGCTCCTTAACGAGCTCGGTCTCGGAACGAATTAAACTTGTAAGTCAAGGCCCCACTGTAACACCTTTAAGCCCTGGCTGGTGTGGCTCAGTGGATAGAGCGCCAGCCTGCGGACTGAAGGGTCCCGGGTTGGATTCTGGTCAAGGGCACATGCCTGGGTTGTGGGCTCGACCCCCAGTAGGGGGCGTGCAGGAGGCAGTCGATCAACGATTCTCTCTCATCATTGATGCTTCTATCTATCTCACTCCCTCTCCCTTCCTCTCTGAAATCAATAAAAAAATATATTTTAGCCCTAACTGGTTTGGCTCAGTGGATAGAGCGTCGGCCTGCGGACTGAAGGGTCCCAGGTTCGATTCC